TTTTTTTCCAGAAAACAAGACATAATATCTTAAGTCATTTTACTTGTACAGTAAATTCATCTTGATTCAAGAATTTTTTAGATAGAAAACAAGGCAAAAACACTAAGTGAGAGAATCATTGAATACAGTGAATACATTATGAAAAGCCAAATAACCCAAATTCTCAAAACCAGTGAATGAAAAAACAATGTTTTTGCTTGTAGTATCTTGCCTCAAGAACATAAATGAACTTCCAAATGAAGTTCACGAAGACACTAATCATTCATTATGAGCGTACATAAGGATCACCATCCCAGTGGCAATTCTTCTGGCATCCCTCTACGTAGTACCACAAGCCTTGGGTTCGAGCCTCCTTTGAGGACAGCAAACCAAGCTCGTTTACCATTAACTATGGTCTTAAGACTGGATGGGCAGGCGAACTTGTGAAGTATGGTTGATTATGAGTTGAAAACGCTGTAATACCTGGGCTGTGGAAGTATCCTCCTGTGCTGGGCCTCCAGGATCTGCTGCTGGATGAGGTATTGCTGGTGTAAAGCCTGAGGTAGGAAGGGTGGGGCCGGGATGTCCTGGAACGGTGGTGCTGGTATGTGGTTGAGGGGTGGATGTAACGCCGCGGCTGGCTGGTGCGCGGGGCCAAGGTGATGGCTCATTCCTGTCTGAGATTGTCCTGGATGGGGCATTGGGAAATCAACAGGGATTTGGGCCTGGGGGCCTACGTGGAAATGCCGGCAAGAGGTAGCATGACTGTGCTGATGCCTGCTAAAATGAGATCCTGCAACAACAACGACATCAGAGCAAATTATGAATGGGATTAAACCGCTGCTGGATGCTGGCCTTCCTCCTTTCCTGAAGAAATCAATCATCAGCAGTGGGGTGTGATGGTAAATTAAGAGTGAAGGTGAGCGAATTGTGTTTGAACAGCATGTTTGCGTTAATATTTTGGTTTGGGATGCTATTATTCACACAGTTAGTGTTTAGGATTGGGAATCAAACTTATTATCGGATTAGACGGTCTGAACAGGTAACTGAAGTCAGTGCCGTTCACCAATTAATGTAAATAGCATGACTTGCAACTAGTTCAACCTCTCACATTTTGCGGTTCAATTTTGTGTTTTCTTCTATCCAAACACTTTGTCACTCTACAACAATACAATACCCCAATTCGTTTTTTTAATCTTAAATAGTCATATTTAAATAGTTCATATTTATTTAGGCATATATCAACTGGTTATGAGTCATGTGGCCAGTTGCATAAACACTTGTCTTAACTAGCTGTTAGCCAAGCCAGTTTTACCTTTCAGGTTCAAATTAGACAAGTCTACCTTTTTAAGTAACTGATCAAAGCGAATACGAATAAATCCCACATATCAAAACATTTCAGTCCTATGGCCTTCATCAGGCATAAGTAACTGATCTTAAAAAATTACAACCAGTCCTGGAGAAAAGTTTGATGACTATCTTAGTTAGATAAAAGTTTATGCAACAGGTCACTGAACTTTTCAGGTATCACTCTCATTGTAGAATTGTTGCTCTTTTGGAAACCAAACTGTGTGGTTTCCAACTGGTTCCCAAACCAATAAAGCACAAACCTAAAGATAAAGATTACATTGGTAATGTTACAAAGCGTTAAAACAAATATAGACCACTAACCCTAGACCTAGCATTGGTAGAACATCCTGATGGATCCATCAATGACTTTTCTTAAGTCTCAACTTTTCTTGAATGCTTTGTGATTGAGTTGTCCAATGAAATTGGCTGTTTAGCCATTTTTTTGGTAAATAATCATGCATATATCAACCATATTCTACAGCTGTGAACAGAAGTGTCTCCTCACCTCGGCCCAGCAGATGTGAACGGTCTAGTTATTTAGCAACTACCAAAAGCAGACTGAGAGATGGAGATCAGCTGAAGGAATCCACAGCTGCTTTAGGTTCTCAGCCAAATGTCTGAGCGAACAGTAAAAGTCTCAGTGCTCTGGATTTAGACCGAAGCTGCCGTGTTTTCATGCGAGCTGTTAGCCCGTCACGCATTATCAATGAAGGGATTTGTGTTTTCTAATGACAGAACTTTGGATACGTGTTTACAGCTCCATAAAATAACCTACTGGAAGCTCTGTAGTTTTGCTGTATAGGACTATAGATAAAAATATTACAATTACAAACACACAATACCATTTTAAGTTACTTACATTTCTGAAAAAAATAATGTAGGCCTAGTAATGTTATAAATACACACGCCTGATTTTTGTTTTAATTATCCATCGTACAAAAAAAGAAAAAAACATTTGCAATCAAGACTGAAAAAAGCCAGAAGTGAATGTAAATCACTTCTGTTTGATTTGGCCGAGACTATGGCTGCGTTTACACTGGCACAAAAAATCCGATCTTTCGCTCACATCTGACACAGATCGGAATTCGTTGCACACGTGTAAACACAAAAACCCGCACGAGATCCGATTTTTTTGCCCTTTAAATTTAACCGTATCAGAACAGAATAAAAATTTTAAAATATATAATTCTAATGGATAAATATAATTGCAGTATATAATAATATATGCTTAGCAATAAACATGCCAAAACAAATTAATTTATAAAGAAACGTAAGGTAAAGTTGGGCTTACTCTCTCAGGCACAAATCCAAATGTGTCCATATTCGCAATGTAGCTGAAGCTAAACTATTAGCCTTATAAGGTAACATAGGCTTTGTAGTTCACGCGCGTTCCAATATCGACTGAAAAATATCATAATGAGTAAAAATATGCCACAGTGGAGCGGGTCTCACGGTGAACGGCTGCGCTGTTTCCAATGAATGCAGTAGCTTAGTGTGCACGTGAGGCGCTGGCGCCATCAAACAACTGAAACATTAAATAGACTACTCCGTAACTTTTGGTTATACAGTAAAGGCATAATTCGAAACTGCAAAGTGCAAAGTGTTAGCAGTTTGAAAATTAAAGAATATAGCAAAGTTAATCATAATTATTTCTAAATGCAACATTTCGCAGCCTGGGAGACCTTCTTAGGGCAGTACCTTGCCTCACCGACTAAAATCAGGGCGCCCACTACGGAGACGGCACCAGAGGTGAGGGGGCACAGTGACCGAGGTGGCCGGGCCGGGCCCCCTCAGGCCCCCCGTGGCGCCGACGCTGGATACGTGTGTGGGAACTATTTTCCAAAGCAATATCCATGTGCTGGCAAAACAAAATCTCAAAGCCAATGACATCTCAATGGACATGAAGTAGGACATCTTCCTGAATCAACAGCCTCTGTTGGTTCTGGAACAACAATCATAGTCCAGACCTCATCCATTGCCCACTCCTGAAGAGTTAAGAACGAGTCTGAAATCTGTTTGATTGATAGGAATGTTGTTCTAGGACTGACTCTTTACCCTTAGGAACATGTTTACTGTGATTTATCCAAGAGGAGTGATTAACCCTTCAACTCTAAACATTCAATTTGGTCCATAGAGGCAAAATAACATCAGAAGCAGCAGAAATCACAGTTTGGTGCAGGGGCAAGACATGTGGTTAGCATGCTTTATTATGAGCTGACATGTGAACATTAATTTATAGAGCAATAATTGCATGTCTTGGCATGACTAGGCTATAACTCCTGTTCCAAAAGGCTAACTTTACATCAAATAGGCTGCATAGAAGTTAAATGTCCTTCCTTCAGAAGTACTACTGATGTTTCACTGTGTATTAATAATGAAAGACGGGTGAATGTTTGAAAGATGGATTGAGACCGAGTTTGTGGTGTTGTGATGGAGTTATCTGCCGGCTACTTGCAAGACAACAAATTAATGAGGAAATTAATCAATGCACCACTTTATGGGTTTGAGAACACTTCACTATCATAGTAGAAATGGGAAAAATGAGACACAGAAAAGCAGAATTACCCATCTCTCCACTCTACTTTCTGCTGGCAGACACACACAGACTTCAGAATGAAGGAATCGAAAACACATAAGCCTAAATCACGTAGAATGTGTCATCATCGTCACACAGAGAAATGGGACGTGCCCATCGCTCGCTGTGTGTTAGTGAGAAAAGATTCAATCACAGAGATGAAATGTGTGGACACACCAGAGAAAGGCCACGTTTACATTGCATCCGGATCGTTTACAGTGAGAAGACTTAAAGGTGCAGCGGAGCTAGTAGGATCTCGTTCAAATTGTGGACGTCTACGGTTATCGTGAACGCACACTGCACCTTTAAGTGCCTCAGTGATGAGCGTAAATGACCACAGATCAACTCATTGAGGTCTCATGATGAAAAAAGCGAGGAAATCAGTCTATCGGTCACAGCAGAGGGAGGAGGTGGGGGGAGACAATAAATGGAAATCAGCAAGAAGCACACTGGAGGTTAGGAAAAATACTATATTCTTTATTGAAAAATATTAGTATGTGTGGATTTGTGTCATGATAATAAGTCCATGCAACAAATAAAACAACATTGACCAATAGCAAGGCCCACCATGCTCAGTACAGGGTTAACAGAACAAAAGCAACATCCAATGAGCAGATGCATTGGCTACAGTACAGAAAGATTACATTGGAGTCTATTCGATGTAGAATCTAAATAATGTGATTCATGCACTGAAGTCTATTACCAGAACAAAAGGTAGGCAGACCACAACCAAACAATAGACATTTGCATTGCTCTAATAGAGGATCTCAAGTAGCAGTGCAGGAAATCAACATCCCTGCCAAATGGATGGCATTTTGGACGCAATTTGGATTCGATGCAATCGGAGCCAATCGTCAGCTAGTTACAGTAGGGCCTTTTGCACCGTGGGAACCTTTTCATAGTACCAGAACTAATTGTGGAACTACCCACTTTTTGGCGTTTTCGCACCGCCGGAACTGGGTGCGATTTTAGTACCGGACTGCCTTTTTCGAGAACCATCGGTGCGAATGCAACCCTTTAAATAGTACTGGGAAATAGTTCGTGCAAAATCGTCCCAGTACTGAACTAAAGCGGTGCGAAAGGCCCTAGTGTTACTTCATTGGGTGTTGGTTTTTTTGCTTTTCCTCAAACATGAGTGTGGATGATCGTGTAAAATCAGAAGTGCGATGAATGGAGCACACGTTATGCAGGTGACGGCTAAAGGTTTTGCATCCAAATGCATCCATTTTACAGGAATTTACAAACATGTCGACTACCAAAGCTGAATGGGACACACACCAGTCACTCTTCTAGAGCTACGGATGTGGGTTAAACTACAGCACGTGACATACACACAGTAGTTTATGCTCTAAACGTGTTAGGCTCTGGTTTTAGTGTGTGTTTGTTCTCGGGAAGGGAGCAGATCTGAGATGTTTGTCGTCTTCTGATGGAAATAGGAAATGAGGAGGGATCAGAACACAGATGATCATTAAAACACAATGATCTGATAATGCAGAATGTAGATTCAGCCTCCACAGACTATGAGACAGGAGATAAGAAAAGAAATAAAGCACATGAAATCAAACCATGAGACAGAAGATCAGAAACAGAAATCATAAAGCTTCATGAAATCAGTGATGGAGGTAAAGTTAGCAGCTCGTTTAGTGTGTTGTTTTTCTTCTTTAGACAATTGCTCAAAAATAATGTTTTTAGACACATCAGCTTTTGTTTGATGAACTGCAGATACTTTCTGAGGCCCTAGCCATTCATAAATGTAATACAAATGAACATTACAAGACTCTAGTTAATAAATGATGTGTTGATGTTTTATTTGTTGTCGGTTGAGCTCAGGCCTGAATTAGCATCTGTAGCTTTCTGAGGTAAAACCAAACCTTACAAATAAACCTTAACAAATACATACAGCGCTCAAATACACGATAAAACGAATCGACAATCTGTCAGATAAAACGTATATCCTTCATAGAAGCCAATTTGTTTATTTTAAATGCATTTTAAAGTTAAATCTGACGCGGAACGCGTCCTTCGCTCGGCTAGCTAACTTAACAGGTTATTAACGTTAACGTTACCTCAGATCCGAATCAAACCTACGATTCGCTAAAAAAAACAAATCACCTGGTTTTTACTGATTATCTCCTCAGTTAGGATCTACAGCAGCATATAGATCAGTCGTGGGGTTTAATAATCATGCATTAAACAAGCAAAGGCCCTTAGATGTGATCTGATCGTGAAATAATGCGTTATAAATACCTCTATTTCTCACTGAGCCAAAGACAGGAAGAACCAAATATCCGACATGAACTAACACCATCCTTCAGATCTTCTGTTTGATGAATACAGACTGTAAACGGAGGAATAAATAATGTACATTCAGCGGGATCATATGCAGTCACCGCGAGGACAAAGAACAGCGGCGGCGGCGTTCGATTCGCCAACAAATCGCTCTGTTGAATCGGTTCTTCTTAGCGATTCAAACGAACCGAGTCGCGAAGCATGTACCTGTAAGGAAGGATTCGATCGAATCCGCGAATCGCGTTTTAAACAGATTCGAGCGAACCGAGTGAATCAAAATGACCAAAGCTCGAAACCAGCACATAAATCTGACCGCTAGAGGCGCCACTGAGGACAAAATGATTATGATGATTAGTTGAATATCAATAACTACATCACAGTTGATCTGGCAGAGCTTTAATTGCAGCAAAAAAAAAATATTTTACAGTACCATGTTTCATTGGTTCACTAGCACAGCTGCCAATGAATTAAAAATAAAGCAGGAAAATAATTTTTTTTTTTTTTACGTGATGCATTCAAATTTTTGGCCCATACCTACTTTCCTTTTTATTTTGACAATTTGATACAAAAAAAAAAAAAACTTTAAACAACTGTAAATCATAAAATAGTGTCTTAGAGTCAAGTGTACAAAGCATTGGTTGTAACAGTCTTTATTTCACATTTAAAAACAACCTAGCTGAAATAAGACATTTACACTTGCATATGTTGGTTACTAATAGGATTGTTTGATGGATAGGGATGCATACGCTCTTAAAAAAAAAAGATGCCATAGAAGAACCATTTTTGGTCCCCAAAGAACCTTTCAGTGAACCATCTTTTCTTAATGCGAAGAACATTTTAATAATCTAAAAAATCGTTTTCCACTATAATGCAATGGAAAAGGTCCCATGCATGTTAAAGGTTCTTCATGAAACCATCGTTTCCAGTGAAGAAGCTTTATTTGCATCTGTTTTAAGTGTGTTGAAAGAGCCGTGTCATGTCAAAATCAAGTGGGAACACAGCCATCTGGATTCCTGAAAGCCCAGTAGGACCTAAAACGCACTGCAGCAAAAGTTTAACATTTAGTGGCATGATGGGAATGTTTTTCTTTTATGTTCTTGTACCGCATAATTCCCAATGATATACATGATTCACTGACACTGAGCAGGAACCTTTAGTTGAATAAATAACCCTATGAGGTCTGCAAGGAAAGAGAAACCAATTTTTACACTGGTGAGTGTATATGTGACCCTGGAGCACAAAACCAGTCATAAGGGTCCGTTTGAAATTGAGATAAGCGTAACATTGATGTATGGTTTGTTAGGATCGGACAATATTTGAAAATCTGGAATCTGAGGGTGCAAAAAAATCTAAATATTGAGAAAATCATCTTTAAAGTTGTGCAAATGAAGTTCTTAGCCATGCATATTACTAATCAAAAATTAAGTTTTGATATATTTACAGTAGGAAATTTACAAAATATCTTCATGGAACATGATCTTTACTTAATATCCTAATGATTTTTGGCATAAAAGAGAAATGGATAATTGTGACCCATACACTGTATTGTTGGCTATTGCTACAAATATACCCCAGCGACTTAAGACTGCTTTTGTGCTGCAGGGTCACATATACAGCCACTGCAGAGCGAATATTGTTACACTGCCGCTGTATTTATCATGATGACATTTTATTCTTCTCTACTGCTGTGCATTATGAAAAATGACATTTTTCCCCCAGTAATATTATAAAAGTGAATCAGTTGTGAAAAGGATTGCATGTTACTGTAAGGATGGAAGGAAGGACAGTGCGTTCTGTCTCACTCGGTGCTGTCGTAGTGGTTCGGTGGATCTGACGTCTCCTGAAGACTCGCGTGCGAGATCTCATCTTTATCTGACGTGCGTTTGGCGTTGAACAGATCCGATACAAAGAACACCTGCGTTGAGAGAGAGAGAGAGAAGTGTGTTGGTTACAGCATGGCATGCATATATGTGACCCTGGAGCACAAAACCAGTCATAAGGGTCATTAAGATTTATACATCATCCGAAAGCTGAATAAATAAGCTTTCCATTGATGTATGGTTGGGATTGTTAGGATCGGACAATATTTGGCTGAGATACAACTATTTGAAAATCTGGAATCTGAGGGTGCAAAAAATCTAAATATTGAGAAAATCATCTTTAAAGTTGTTCAAATTAAGTTCTTAGCAATGCATATTACTAATCAAAAATTAAGTTTTGATGTATTTCCGGTAGGAAATTTACAAAATATCTTCATGGAACATGATCTTTACTTAATATCCTAATGATTTTTGGCATAAAAGAGAAATGGATAATTTTGACCCATACAATGTATTGTTGGCTATTGCTACAAATATACCCCAGCGACTTAAGACTGCTTTTGTGCTGCAGGGTCACATATTAACAAGCCTCACTTACAGTAAACAGTGCCACAGCGGCTCCCTGTACGAGTCCAGTGAGAACGTCACTCCAGTGGTGTTTATAATCAGAGACGCGCGACAGACCCACGTAAAGAGACGCCGCGATGAAAGAGAATTGCAGAGTAGGCCGAAGCAGTCGAGCCCAACTTGCTCTCAGTCTAGACTGGACATACAGCTGTAAAGAGAAATATATATGTATATGATAAACATCACTTAAGGTGAATGGGGTAAAAATGTAAACAAGTAGATATCACTATACTGCTCCAGTTGATTAATATTCAAATGAGGCATTATCTAATTAAATATGCATCAATTTTGAATGCATTTCCAGCACATAAATCTAAAGACTGGATAATGTCAGACTTGACTTGGTTTAGATTATACATTAGAAAAACAGTACAGTAGTACACAATACACAAATAATACAATTCTATAAAAGATTCTTTAAATATGTACTTTTGAAAGTAATTGTAAAAGTTTTTCTGGGTCCATCTTGTCCATCAAGTCTATAAGAGTTTGTCCCGATTGGATAATTGGGTTGATTTTGTTGCCACATTAGAGTTAAAGGATGGATTTCTCTTTTTATCACTCGATAATTCAGAAAATACTGCCAACAGACTGAAATCAAACATGTTTTTAGGAGTGAAATGTTGTATAAATCGGTGTGAATGAAATGTGAAAAACCTTCATCTGTTTTGTGTGTGTAAGCGACTTCGGAGAATTGAAATCTACAGACGCACATAGATGAAGTGCAATAAAAGAAACACTTAAATGTGTGTTTTGGATATTTGCTTTCCACCAGACTGAAAGAGGACTGCGGTCACGCTTCTGTTTAGTTAGTTTAATTATCACGGATTTTAGTTTGTTTTCATTAGTTTCCCGTCTTCCTTTGTTCAAGTTTTCCCGCCACTATTCATATTCAGTTGTCATGGCAACTCATTTAATTTGCACAGGTGTTTGTCATTTAACCCTTATTTTCCCAGTATTTATGTTACTCTGTTTCCAGCCTATACATTGTTTGTGTATAGCATGCGGTCTCGCATATTGAGTTATTTAATAAACCTAGTTTTATTTTTTATCAACATCATCGTCTTCCCTGGAGTTTGTGACGTTAGTGCATAAAAAAAACAGTGGTTTTGCCTGTAGCATCTCGCTTTAAATTTAATGAAACACACTTACAGCAAGAAACAGCATACAGTACATGGAGAATGATGAGTGGCCAGAATAAAAGGAAAGCCTGTCGGTAGAAGATTGTACGTCATCATTAGCAAACCAGACACAACCAGAACAATGTGTTCTTTTCTAAATCAAACAATGCACTCACAGATTCAATGCAAAAGTATAAAAATGAATTTTTCTTTCTGAATGCGAGTGTTCGTTGCACTGTTTTGCACTCACCGGCCTTCATTGATGATGACTGGATCTCCTGTGCATGTGAAGTTCTCAATATAACCGGATTTACAGTCAATGAGGCTCCAGTGCGGTTTACACACAGTCAGAAAGTGCGGCCGCAGTCGGCCGATGGTGTATTTGGCGATGTCGGTCAGAGACTGACTCAACGCCGCTCCAAACACGAATGATCCCACGGCCTTATACACACATGCTATATACGCATAACTGAAAGAAGCTCTGGACCGCACATACAAGGAAAAACACTCACTGAAGATTATCTGTGGTGAAGAGAAAACAAAATGCATGATGTTTTCATCTGAGATCAGGGCCCGTATTCACAAAACATTTTATCTTACCACTAAGAGTTCTCCTAAATAGCAGTAAAAAAGAGTTTTCTCTTAAAACCTATTCACAAAGCTGCAAACTTTTACTAAGGAATAGAGAGAAGTCTTAAGCTCAGAGTAAGGGGGCGGGGCTGAGCTCATTGCTATGCATGATGTCTTCAAGCTTACTAACTATGCACACAGTGATTGGCTGATAGTCTCTGTCAGAGATTCATTCAGAGGAATATTGTACAGCACGATGTTGCCATATATAAAAGTAAAAAAAAAAAAAAAGTGAATTGCCACATTCACATAAACGTTTTAAAATGCTGGCTAAGTGTCATTAATTAAACAAGTACATGTTCAGCTAATTGTCAGCCTGTGTTCTTCTCATAATTAGTGGATATGCATCTAAACAGCCTTTTAATTAACAGAGCAGAATAATCATGGCTGATAGTAAGACGTGCAAACGTAAAAGAAAACCAAGCAGCTGTTCCTTCTTGCCCAGCTGGTTAATGAAAACAAGGATATAATTTAGAGTCGGGATAACCTCCAAAACCAAAGGCGATACCTTTATTAAAGCTCATTATCAAATGTTTCTAAAATGTTAGATTGCCGGAAACAGCTATTTTAGGATAGTTTGTGGTTAGGACTCTCTTCACTGCTCCTAACCTTTCACAGATTTAGGAGCTAGTTTTAGAGCTAAAACACTTTGTGAAATACTCTTAGAGCAAACATTTAGGAGTCCGACATTTAGGAATGACACGCACATTATTTTTAAGATTTTCTCTTAAATCGGCGAGTTATGAGCTACTTTTAGCATTAAGATGTTTTGTGAATATGGGCCCTGAAGAAGAGTACTGGTTAAGAAAGCAACCGAACACTTACCATCAACAGTGCGAATGGAATCATTATTCCCATCAGTAACTGGTAGGATATGGTATCTTCTTTAAAGGGGTACCTGATGGAGTCATCGCTGCAAAAAAAGCCTCTTTTGAATGGCGTGTGCTGAATATTCAATATCGCAAATGGAAGTCCAGCTGCAACAAAGACAAAGCACGAATGAAGGTCTCAAAAGAGCAGTTTTGTTGTCATCTGATGTTTCAGTGCAGTCAAATCAATGATATTACTGAATATTAATGGTGAAGCTCCAGCGCTTTAGGAACAGATGGCTATGTGTTGATGTTTGTTTTGTTAGTATGTGCATGTTTCAGTGCAGATTCTGCTGAAGAGACACAATCATTGCACACAGACATTTTAAGCATTTCTATGCATGATCTAATAATGCACATAATATAGAGCTAATAGTGAGTATCTGGAATATGTTGCATAAGTGCTTTAAACATCTACGATTGTGAAAAAATATCCCAGCTCTCAGAGAACGTTTTGATATTTGATGGGCTCAACTTAATTCAACATTAATTTTTTGCATTTAATTCCACGACTTTCTAAATTCAAGACGTTTCAAGGCCTTAATTAGGCGAATTTTAAGACCTTTTTGATACCTGCAGAAAATGTTAGCTCTTACATCATTCATGGAACGTTTTTTTTTTCTAAAATGTTTTACTTTTTAAAGTGTTTTTTTTTTTTTTACGTTATTACTTACCTGTAAAATGATAACACAAAATATTCCCTTAATGTTTTCTCTAACGTTTGCATAACCAAGAAACATGTTTTTAAATTATTAAAAAAAAAAAACACGTTCAGAGAGCATTCCCTTAAGAAAAATAACCATGGTTTTATTGTAGTATAAGTGTAGTAACCATGGTTTTTTTGGCGTATTGATAACCATTTGCATAACCACAGTTTTACTACAAATACCATGGTTAAACTATATGGTTTGTGTAGCAAAACCATGGTTAATTTGTGGTTAATATCTATAGTAACCAAAATAGTTTTATTTGTAGTAAAACCATGGTTCATTTTCGTAAGGGTTTAGAAATAACATTGACAACACATTCTTAGAGCACTTTTTGTTAGCTGGGCCATTTCTACAGTATAAACACAACTTATCTGTGAACACCTACAGCTGTACTTTTATCTCACCTCATAAAAGAGACTAAAGAACTGTATCTCGATACAAGCTCGTACTTATGCTTTTCTGAGCAATAATAAAAGTGTGTATAATAACCTATAATGAGTATGCGTGGTAATATACATGGACGGATGTGCTTCTGAAATGAATGTTTCATCAAAGAGCGGAACTGAAACAATGTTCGCGCGTCAGTGATACATTGTGATACATTGTGATCCATAAGAATCTCAAGCGGTAACAATAATAACGCAGATTTACTGCGCAAAATCATCGGCTGCTGAGACAGGCCAGACATCTGTAGAGTTTCTGTTGTGATTGTGAATGTCTTACCGAGCAGCACGCAGCTGACGTCCACACAAACACTGAAGAGTCCTTTAGTCTCGAACATTCTCAGTTCCGCAAACACACTTCTGGAGCCTCTGGAGAATTTATAACTGAGCATTTATTTACATCAGATAAAAACAATGCAGCTCTTTGACTTATTATCACGAAAGCATAAACTGGAGATAATCTGATCATCGAGCGAACACCCGGCTGCTTCTCTAATCACGTTTCCGTGAATCATATGCGTTTTATGGCGATGATTCGATGTATGTCACCGTTTTATCTCCGGTTACTGCATATCGCATGATGGTGAGGTCAATCCCTCCGCCTGTCAATCATCTACAGACTCCGCCCACCGCTTCCTCTTCCTCCGCAGAGTCACGTTCAGTGATGCCTAAAATAGAGCAGAGCTTCTGCATTCTCATTCAGGTTTCATAACATTCCAAACACTGTTTAACATGTAAAATAAACAGGCCACACTGAAGTCAAGTCAGTTTTATTTATAAAGCCATTTATACAATACAGATGTTTCAAAGCAGCTTCACATTACAGGAAAACAGTGTTGGTCAGTTTTGTTCGATTAACAGAGTTTAATGTCAAAAGGTTTTGTTTGATTAACAGATTTAAATGTTGGTTGATTTTGTTCAATTAAATTATTTAAATGTCAGTGGATTTTGTTTGATTAACAGATTTAAATATCGGTATATTTTGTTCGATTAACAGATTTAAATGTTGGTTGATTTTGTTCCATTAACAGATTTAAATATCGGTCAATTTCGTTCGATTAACAGATTTAAATGTTGGTTAATTTTGTTCAATAAAATTATTTAAATGTCAGTCGATTTTGTTCAATAAAATTATTTAAATGTCAGTCGATTTTGTTCGATTAACAGATTTAAATATCGGTCGATTTTTTTCCATTAACAGATTTAAATATCTGTCAATTTTGTTCGATTAACAGATTTAAATGTTGGTTGATTTTGTTCAATTAAATTATTTAAATGTCAGTTGATTTCGTTCGATTAACAGATTTAAATGTTGGTTGATTTTGTTCAATAAAATGTATTTAAATGTCAGTTGATTTTGTTCGATTAACAAATTTAAATGTCGGTCGGTTTTGTTCCATTAACAGATTTAAATATCGGTCGATTTTGTTCAATTAACAGATTTAAATATCGGTCAATTTTTTTCGATTAACAGTTTTAAATGTTGGTTGATTTTGTTCAATGAAATTATTTAAATGTCAGTTGATTTAGTTCGATTAACAAATTTAAATGTCAGTCGGTTTTGTTCAATTAACAGATTTAAATGTTGGTTGATTTTGTTCAATTAAATTTATTTAAATGTCAGTTGATTTTGTTTGATTAACAAATTTAAATGCTGGTCGATTTTGTTCGATGAACAGATTTAAATATCGTTCGATTTTGTTCGATTAACAGATTTAAATATCGGTCGATTTTGTTCGAGTAACAGATTTAAATGTCGGTCAGTTTTGTTCGATTAACAGATTTAAATGTCGGTCAGTTTTGTTAAATTAACAGATTTACATATCGGTCAGTTTTGTACAATTAACAGATTTAAATGTTGGTTGATTTTGTTCAATAAAATTATTTAAATGTCAGTCGATTTTGTTCGATTAACAGATTTAAATATCGGTCAATTTTTTTTCCATTAACAGATTTAAATATCGGTCAATTTCGTTCGATTAACAGATTTAAATGTTGGTTGATTTTGTTCAATGAAATTATTTAAATGTCAGTTGATTTAGTTCGATTAACAAATTTAAATGTCAGTCGGTTTTGTTCAATTAACAGATTTAAATGTTGGTTGATTTTGTTCAATTAAATTATTTAAATGTCAGTGGATTTTGTTTGATTAACAGATTTAAATGTTGGTTGATTTTGTTCAATTAAATTATTTAAATGTCAGTGGATTTTGTTTGATTAACAGATTTAAATGTTGGTTGATTTTGTTCAATTA